AATAAGATTTTTATATTTATATCCTATCTGCGAATATATATATCAAAACGTTTGTGCGTAACGAGATAAAAAATGAGAGTCTCTTTTCTAATTAGATAATTGATATACTTAATTATATTATACAAGTTACATGTTATATCAATTGTTACGACAGTTGTTAAAAGAGTCTTTTTTCGCAAAATTTAGAACAGAGAACATCATTAGATAATCGTTCGTCTCCACCACGCACCCGACCGAGGCTATACGCGCAAACGATCTCTCGCGCGCGATAAAAAAAAAAAAGAAAAAAAAGAGAGAAAGAGAAAGAAGGGCGAGGAAGAATACCATCCCCCGTTTGCGCCCTCCACCGTTTCCCTGCCCTCTTTGCAGTCTGCGAAAGACACGCGACCTAAAATCGCATTTGAATAAAGCAATTTGTGCACGCGCCGTAATCCAATTCAGCCTTCTCGCTAGTTTTCGCTACGCGGAAGCACCGATAAATCAACCAGTTGCGCGGCGCATCGGCCTCAGCACGCCCCTACGATGTAGCCATATGGCTTAATTTCATTCGTCGAGCGTGTGGTACCTCGTGAGGTCGGGGAAAAAAAGCGTTTCGCGTATATGAGAGCGGAAAGAACTGACATCGCGATGTTGCGGTTCGCCGATTATATTCGCGCGGCTGCTAGTAATGGTGTGATATCGCATAGTGAGATCGAATTAATTTCGCGGCCGCTTTGTACGCGTTTAAATCAGAGCTCATCGCGGGGATAAACTTGAATTTTCCTCGCGTCTTACACATAAAACTCTCTTTGGAGTGTTTATGAAAAAAGTTCGTTATTACAAAACATAAGATTCGTGTTGTGGCAGTTGCAAAATATATATTGCAAAATATACTGACTATGATTAATAAATGATTCGCTTTATTGGGGAATCTTCGAATAAACACATGCAACGTTTTCTAGGAAACAATGAGTTTATAGTCATACGCAATTAAATTATTTACTAAAATTGAAATTTTCTTTTCTGATGTATTCTTTTCTCATTTTGCGCCTCTACTTGTTTCGATCTCATACAGTTAGGACGAGATGATACGGAGCGTTGCGTAGGTCCTAATCGAAAGCGCGTGTTTAAACACAGTTTAGACGCGCTTATTATTCACGTAACTCACGGCTCAAAGCGCGCAATGATGTGCGTGCGGAACAGCGATTCGGAGTAGCGTGGCGCGGTGCATCCTGCCGTTAAAAGGGTAATCGTTATAAATCGCCACATCAGAACGTCCCAATCCTCAGGCCCGCGGGGGATTGATGGATTTTTATCCGCATTACGTCCGACTGATAGAAATAAACGTCGGCCCGTTTCTCCAGTCCGTTCACAATTATCCCTTTGCCTTCTCCCGATGCGTGTCGTCGTCGCGAAATCCTCGATAATTTCAACATGGCTGTTTATCGCGATAAGACCGAGATCTCTTTACTCTGTGAATAAACATTCGCATAATTGTATTATATAAGTCTATAACATTGGAATGGACGTAACTATATCTTGTGGTAATATGTCGAAATGTAACACACTACATCGCACACGTCGCTGCAACAATTCACGGTGCAGAGATGAATGTATTCGCCGCTGAGAGAACAGATAAAAACAAGAAGAATCACTAAAAGTGGATTTACCGGTAACTTTCCTTAAAGCAATGGCATTATATCGGAAGTAAGTTTTAAATCCGATTTATAAACATTATTTTATGTATGGAACTTAGAGAGCTTCGTGAACGCGTGTTCTGCATTTGGTACATCGTAGTTCTATATCTGCCGATTAAATACGAATGTTCCATAATTGAAGTTGACAGTGTGTGTCGCGCAAATGCACATGTAAAATTTATACTACCTAAACATCACAATGGAAGAACGAGGAGAAAAAGAGAGAAAGAGAAAGATAGATAGAGAGAAAGAGAGAGAGAGAGAGAAGGGGAGGAGGAATAGAGAGAGAAAGAGAGAAAGTAAGTAATCCTCTCTCCTGAATTTTGCAGAAATCGGGACTCCAGCCAGTTTAAGAGCCCGCGTCGATAAACGTCCCGCAGAAGCGAGAGTTCCCGATAGAAGCGCAGGAGACGAGAACGTAAAGTAGACAGTCCAAGGCAGGTGAGACAGCTATACGCTATACGTAACAGCGCTAAGAAACATCGAACAGCCAAGAAAACCAGAAGCAGTTTGCTGTTTGCGATCGCAATGTGGGTATACGTGTTCTGCGTGTGAGTGTGTGTGTGGGTGGGTGGTTAGTGTGCGTATGTAGGGTGGAAATGGAAATGTGGGTACACGCGAATGTCACACGCGTACATCAGCGGACGAAGTGTAACCACGGAGAGTGGCGCGGTCGAGAACATCCATTCAGCCGAACATCTAGAGGGAAATCAGCTCTCTGTGATCGCGAGACGTCGTCACGGCCGCGGCCACGGTCCAACTTTTTCACGCCGACATTGCGGCAAAGTGGATCTCCGCGCGCCTCTTTGAGGGGTAAAAAAAAAAAAGAAGAAAACAGAAAAACAAAGGGAACGTTCGCTCGCGGATGACGACGCTCTCTCGATCCGTTTGAACCCAACATCGGAGGAACAGAAAATTGGGAGGCAGAAAGAGAAAGAGACGGAAAATCAAGAGTGGTCCAGGAGAAGAAAGAAAACAGAGAGAGAGAGAGAGAGAGAGAGAGAGAAAGAGTGACAGCCATCTCACCGCCCGCGCCACAGCTCAAAGCACTCACTAAACGTCACGGGAGAGCACGGATAAAGAGGACTGCCGATTGGTGGTGGTGGTGGCGGTGGTTGGTCAGTGTCAATTGTTGCTGTCTACGTTCAACGGGGCAAAGTGTCTATAGGCCTGGGACGTGCTTTTCAATAACCTACAAAGAGCACTGGCTCCTCTCCCCCGTGTTGTCGCAGGACGGCCGCCCCCGCGTAGCGCCCGGACCGACGTACGCCGTGGTGCCACCTGACAGACTCCGGGAAATTCGTGAGAAAACGGCATTTCCCTCGGCCCATGCGCGAGAACTTTAATCGAATTTCGGCGTTGCAGCGCCAACAACGGCGACGCGCGGTCTCGCTCCGCTGCACGCGATCGACTCTGGGAGATCAGGGTGGATTTGAATTTTGCCGCGCTCTCGCGACCCTCGGTCCGAATTTTCCCCCGAGGTCTCTTTTCCTCCCGGTTGTTGGACTTCACGAGACAGGATTTCGCGCAGCGATAATCGCGATGGCTCTTTTCACCTCCGCGCGTTTTCGTCATTCTCGCTCTTCTTTCCAATTACTTCGGGAGAAATGCTCGATTTTCTCGCATACGAATAAAGAGCTAGAAAGCGTCGCGACGCGTCGCTGTATTTTCTATTCGTTTCTCACTTGCTGTGATTTATGTCGTTGCATGTGTAAAGCCCTACAAAATGCGAGGGAATAGCGATAGCGATAAGTTTCAACTTGTCAAAAATGTGTATTCCGGTGTATTCAATTTTTCGCATTGTTCGTAGCGACTGCACGATATTAGTATAGAAAATTTATATTATCTCTTAAAGTGATCTACGCACCGCAGTTTGCCCATCCATATTGACGAAAAAGGGCAACAGAGATTTTCGAATAATTAATTTTTAAATATCCACAGAAACATTAAGAGGTTCATTGCACAATAAAGATAATATAAGACTGACGAATTTATGATAGTAAAATCAAAACGTTTAGTTAACCATGCTCGAACTGTAAACAATAATGCTCATTTCCATCAATGCAGATTAACTTTTAATCTCGGTTCAATTTGCTCTTCAACTTTTTCTAATTCTGAAAATTAGAAAAAGATGAACAGTAAGTTAAACCGAGATTAAAGTTAATCTGCATTGGTGGAAACAGGCATAACAAGTGGAAGTCTTATTGTATGAAATCGCATCTTATAAGAGATATATATATATATAAAAAATATAGTTAAAACTTTACGTATGATCGTACCTTGCGTAATCGCATTCTCAAATTTTTGAGCTATCTGGCACGCGCTTTGTAACAGCCACTGGAACTACAGCAACACATACTTAACGATCTCGACTATACTGTGAGTTTAAGCAAACGGAACCGACTTTTTGAAGCAACTTCAAATCGCCTATCTATAGCATACGAGTGGCGCCATCCAACTGCACGTCCCAGAATCTTCTCTCTCTCGTGCGCAAAGCAAAACACGACTCCGAAATCCGACGGCGCGAATTATCAATTATCGTGGATATACCGACAAGGTACTGGAATATTTTAAAGACGCTCAGCTTTGGGCAAATTTTTGTGACCATATCAATGCGGAAATTCGAGGATAATTGAAGAACGATATAATTTATCAATGGTCGCGTTCAGCAGACTCAACAGTTTTATAACTGTTTTATGATTCTTTGCTGAGATAGGACTATTCCTTTAGATCTAAAATTATAATCCAATCAGCGAGACGAATCATAAAACGGTTGCAAAACTGTTGAGTCTGCTGAACGCAACCATTATATCGTTCTTCGATTATTCGAACATTATCGACAATTAATAAGAATTTGCAATTATTAACATAAATACTTTGACAATACATTATTGAATTCGTGATTTTTTTTATTATGTAAATCCTGTATAAATAAATATACATACTTTCAATACTATGATATATCTTATATATTGTCAAAAAATTATAATGTTTTTCCTGCAGTTATCATCTCTATATTGATAATCAAACTTGAATAATGATGTTAAAATTTTTAATAAAAGTCGAGTAATATTCGCAGAACAAAAAATATTTAGTAATAACTGTAAACGCAGCCCCAGCTTTTTTTTAATAGTAATACCTTCTAAAAAAAATTGACCAATCACGGTCGAATGTGAGAAGAATACTCTACTGTGATTGATCAATTTCTTACTCTTACCGCCACTGGTTACTGCCATTGTAGACAGCTTTACAATTGGCTAAACATGTGTTGAAGTAACGCAAGGCTCTGACGTAAGGTGGCACTCTAGTCGTGAATGACGTGACGTCGTGATGGCTGCCCCAGTAAAGAAACGTGATATTCAGCAAAAATTGCACGACAGTGACGAGAATCACGTCTCGTCCAGCAGTGAGGACGAGGAATATGAGATCGCGAATAACCCGGTGAGGCAGACTTCTATCAACTTATGAGATATATTTTAACGATCGAACAGTTAACCTCACTCAACAAACACGCGGTCGTGCTCTTCTGCTGTCGATCCATTTACTTGATTATTTATAGCGTTTTCGAATGTAGCGGGTTTTTACCTGATCCGAGTTGATTTAATGAGTTGGTTTAGCTCCGAACTTTAATACAGCGTGTAACGCATATATGATGTAATGTCAATCAATAGCTAAGTATTAATGTCCAATTCCACTACTCACAGTTAACTCTTAACCGATGTTTAACTTATTCCTTATCCCTTTCCAGTTCAAGAATTGAAAAGAAATAAGTAATAAGTTAAACTTTGGTTAAAAATTAACCGTGAAGTTTATATTGAAGATATTAATTTATCTTTTTTTTTTGTTAGCATTAAATAAAGGTTGTAAAAGTTACAAATATCTTTATACTGATATAAAAGAAAGCTATATATATTTTTGTTAGAATATTCATAAAACGATAATAACTTGATTAAATATTGAACATGCTAATTTTTTTTTAAAACTGTATCTGTTCACAATTCGGATAAGTAAAACAGCTTTTATGTCATTAGTTAATCTCACAATTTTCATGAATATATCTGTTACAAATTCTATATCTTCTTAGAATATTTCAGTTATAAATTATAATTGACATAATATCTATTTATTTTATAAAATATTATGATTAATATTACATCTGTTTATTTTATAAAATTAGACAGTGCAATATTATCATAAATATGAATTTTAGGGAATAGAGTTTCAAGTGGATTTTGAAGGTCGCAATCCACAAGATCCAGACTACCATGGAATTAAAACATTACTGCAACAACTTTTCCTCAAAGCGCACATTGACTTGGGTGGATTGACAGATTTAATAATTTCTCAAAATTATGTAGGATCAGTTGTTAAACAATCTGAAGAAATAGATGAATCTGATGATGAAGATGATAATGACATCAATGATGTATTTGGTATTACAACTGTCATTAATGTTTCTGATAAACAGGTAAATAAAATTGATAATCATATACAATCATTATCAAATTGAGAAATTATTAATATCTCTATCTTTCAATTTGAGATTTATTTAAAAAAAATTTTTTTTTCTAGAACATTTTGTGTGTACAACAGTTAAGACATCTACTGAAACAGTTAGCAGATGAACATGCAACTGATGCAGTTAATACTATGATAAAAAATGTATTGGAGAACGATGCAGCGCAATTGGGTTTGCTGATTAATGAGAGATTCGTTAACATTCCCGCTAAGATTTCAGTACCACTTTTCGAAAACCTAATTTCTGAACTGAAACGTGCCAATAATAGAAATATGCCATTCAATTTTTCCTATTACATACTCATATGTAAATTGTACAAATCAGAAGATAAAAAAGCAAAAAGTAAGAATAAAAACGGTACTGAACCATCAGTATTATGGAGTAATCCAGAAGAGGAGATCTTTGCGGAAGAAGCAATTGTTAGTTTCGAGTTTTCTGTCGAAGAAGAAGCAGACAGTGGTTTATCCGGAACGTGGACTGAAACGGACGACGAGATGATACCTTATAGACGAGTATTACTTTTTGAAGCTTCAAAGTTGCAATCAATATTTGGTAAAATACAGAATCAGTTTTCTTAATTAATTTCAAAACGCATTTTCTTGAACGATATGGCTGATAAGAGAGGTTTGTAAGTGTAAAATAAAAAACAATCTCAAACTTTACACATAAGTTTAGAATAGATAGATCTAGTAACGATCTAGTACATTTTTTCGTACTTAGGTTTATATATTCGAAAGGTGCCATGTTATGTGTGAGAGCGACGGATTCATGTCACAGATCACAAGTTCAAACCTCGCATTCTGTTTATACGGAAAAATTTCATAGAGTCGTAAGGAACTCTTTGGATTTAGATAACTCTTTGACTAGACATATAAGGACTGATATGATTCTATCCATGCCCTCGCTAATTTCATCTTTTTTTTTTGTTCTCGAAGGGGAAATTTTCCAAGACCCCCGGGGGAACCTTCCCCGGGGAGTGTCGGATTTACCGCCCGGCAAGTACCGACGGCCAAAGCCGCGGTCGACCTAACCGGACGGCGCCTATATACCGACTAAAACCCCTCCGCAATATTATTCATTTACTCTAAACTTATGTAATGTTTTTTTTTTATTTTACACTTACCGAACTTGTGAGTTTTGTTTGCAAAATTTCCTATTTATGAGCGAAAAATACGCTTCTCAAAGATATAGCTTCTTTTATATATATATATATATCTATATAACGTATAACAGTATATATTACATTAAACATTTTATAATATATCTTTTACATAATGCTTATATTATGAACTATTTCTAAGAATTTCACTTTTTTTTCATTCTTTTATTTTTATTTCTCTTAACATGTAACTTACAAAATATTTGCAAAATGGCCATTAACTTAATACCTCGTCTAGTTTAAGGTTTTCATAGTAGTATAAAAATTACTTTTACAGTCGAATAAATAAATTTTGTGTAAATTTATGTTGAGCAAAAGATCTACAAGACAGAATGTACACATAATGTAACAGATGTATTGAGTACAAATAATAGTAATATTTGTGTAATTTAACTAATTTTTTATATATAATTCATTAAATTTTTGTTGGAATTACAAATATATCCATTCAAATTCTCATTACTATGACGCTGTGTCTGCAAACTTTAATGATTGCCTGATTGGCTTGGCTCTTCTTCTCATAGTACCGAGAATATTTAACATTTCAGAAACTGCTGGTGGTTTACTTTCTGCTTCTTGTCGTCTTTTCCTCTCTTCTTCTCTTTGTTTCTAAAATCAATGTCATGCTCAAATGAACAGGTTAAAACCAAAAGAAATACACGCATACACACTCTATATATGATGCATTTTGTTAAAAAACAAATATCCGAAAGACACGAATTTAAAGAATGTTTGAGAATTTAATGTTACTTTAAACAACTTTGTGATGTATTCTAAATATTTCATATATAATTCAACTTACATCTGTTTGTTTCAACGTGAAACGTCCCCCTTTGATTTGATTAATAATATCATCAATAGCTGAAAATTAGATACATAGCACTGCATTGTATAACTTATATATGTATATATATATATTTATTTATATATATATTTACAATAAAACAAAATAATTCATAATCGACAAAATAATATATAAGTCTGTACATAATTACCAGGTTGTTGCGCAACCGTAGGTGTTTTTTTCGGCGTAATACCAAGCATATTTTCCATATCGCTTACAGCTGAGGTCAATTTTTCTTTAGTCAACAATTTTATTGATGACTGACCAATCGTCGATATCGGTGGTGGTGGAGGAGGTGGTGGTAACGGTGGCGGTAACGGTGGTTTCGAAACTTTCTCCTCTAATTCTTTGATTTTTTGTTTTAAGCAATGCACAACATTTTCCAATTCTTCCATCGATTTCTCCGCCCTTTCGGCTCTCTGAATAACTACTTCTAATTCTGATTCCGCGAGCTTTAATTTCTCCTCGACAATCTCAAATTCTACATTTGATTCTTTCTCCTCTAATTTCTCTTGTAACACTTGTATTTGAGAAGCATGATTTTGCTGCTCTTCTTCTAATAGCCTCTTTAGGGATTCCACTTCTTGTAAAACAGTTAACAATCTCCCATTCGGGTCATCTCCGACTCCGGCTATAAGAAGAGCGCTTTGATGCGCTAAGACGTTTCGTTCTTTCTGGACCTAAACAAATAACCAGCTAATTAACACAATATATGCGAAAGCGATATATTTTTAATGCATTTTAATTTCCAAATCTTATTTTCTTTTCGCATACGTCGTTTAAAAATTACAAAGATTCGATATTTTATTTTAAAATGAATCCATAAATGTATGTGCGTGTGTGGATGTGTGTAGAATTGCTCTATTGTGTCATGTTTTGAGAAAATTGAACTTAAATGTGGCGAAAATTGTAGTTTAAGGTACGTACTAAAGTGTCTCGAAAACGTAATATGATAGAGTAATTTCATCTATAGATTCATTTTCGTGACGAAAATCTGTTATTCATTAGACACAATGAGTTTTTGCAAAACATTCAAATAATCTACTTTATTATTTTTAGAAGGTTTCCCAAGCTTTCCTGGGTGAATAAACTTTCTTTTATGAATGTATGGACTTTTTTCAAGATGATAACTGCATAGATTTTAAAAGTGTCCGTTTACGACCAAAATTGGCCATTTAATTCTTCCTTCTATTTAATTTCAGTAATTAAATTATATATTAATGAAATTAAATTTTAATGATCGTAATGACATACCCTTTCGGCTTCCAGTTGCAGCATTTTCGCGCTTTCTCTTTCACGATCGCATTGTGTCTTCAAGGTCTGCACTTCCTCCGCTACCATTTTCGTGACTCTTTCCATGTTTTCCTTGTGCACTTTCATCTCGTTAATTTTTTCTTCGCCTGCGACAGAAATAAATCGATCAGTTTATTGCGTTTTGCATATCGCGTAATTATGGAAGATTTTATTTTACCTTTTTGTCGGAGGACTCTTTCCTCTTCCAACTGCGTAGTCAGTTGCGTCACCTGTTCCTGTGCCTCGAATTCCTGAAGTCGTGCGGAATGAAGTTCTGTTTGTAATCGTGCTATTTCACCGCTCAACTCTGAAAAAAACAAATGTTCCACTTAGAACTGCTGGTCTGCTAACTTTGTTTAAACTCAATTGTTAACGCAATCTCGAGAGCAAATAGAAATATAAGTAACAATCGCGGTAACCGAATAAAAGCAGTTGCACTGACCTTTCACCGTTTGCCTTAATTGATCCAAATCCTCGAAGTTCGAGTCCACTTCATCGGACATATCGAGATGCAACGATTCATCCGGATTATTATGTAGAAACTTCTGCGCCATGATTTGAGATCTTCGCTTCAATTCGCGATTTTGTCGGTACCACTAATATAACAAAATTGTATATCATTTTACAATAATTACGTATCACTTATACAAAAATTCTCATTTGTTAGTGATTAAGATTACAAATCATCTATTAATATATTTTATATATACATATATATATATATATATATCACTTCTATATATCACAGATTAAATTATCATAAACATGTACCTGAGAGGCTTGTTGCATAGCTTTATGCATTGCGTTCGTTTCCACGTCGTATTGATGTTTCAATTGTTCGTATTCTTTACATACCGCTTCGGAAACTATTAAAAAGGAATATGAACTTAATAACTTTAGAGAAGATTCGGCTACATATTATGAGATAAAACTTCAACAAAATATTTACTACTTAAGAAAATCTGAAAGAAAATTTTTTTTGAAAATTTCGTAAGAATTGGTTTTGCGGATTTAAATACACACACATACACTATCTATTGTAAAAAAATATAGTCTCGTGAAATCGCTTTTTCTAATTTTTAATATGTTTGTACTTCAAATTTATTTCAAAATTATATTCTTAAAAAATTCTCTGACTAATTTTAGAATTTTGAACAGTTTAAAAAAATATTTGGAAAATTCGGGAATTCTTGGGCATTTTTTTTTACAAGATTTCAATAAACATTGTTCAAGTCACATTGTCAGCTACGCACCTGTCCGTAATTTTAGGAGCTTCTGTTCCTTCTCTTGAACTTGCGATTGTAACACGTTATTTTCTCTCTGTAATTGTTGGTATTTTTTCTCCAATTCTACGTGATCCTTATTCACTGCAAAAGATGTTCGAGATTACGACGTAGAATGCAATTTTTTATCTCGTAAAATGTTTTAATTTCTTTTTCTAATCATTATATAATAGTTATGAAACATGGATGTGCGTGGGCTAGATGAGTCAGTTATTAAACATCGCGATTATAAGTCGACAATAAGATTAAGGTCACATAATCCTTAGAACTATTGAGAAACAGTTGACGACGTCATCGGTTTAAAAAAAGGTTCATATTGTGGAACAAAATACATATAATTCCACCGATGACAAAATGTTCATCAAACGTGGTATGTAATAATTTTTTAATTAAAGTAAACAAAAAATTGTATTACATATGTATTACATATGTATATACACATGCATGCTGAAGTTACTCTAACGTTTTGCAAAGTTTTGATTAGCATATTATTCTACCATCGTTGCATTTTTCTCTTTTTGATGCCATACTCCAAATATTATCTTTAAATATTCTGATGCTGGAACTCTGACGCGTCATGTTATATGTATTATACATGAATCGTTTATAAAGCGTTTGTTAATTAAATTACAAATCGTATGCAAACGATATTTTAAGAAAATTATTAAAATATCTCACTTTCGCATCACTTCAGTTTTCAGTGCCTGGCTTTTTTTACGTAAATTCGACCGATCAGCTTCACTAATCGTTCGTCAATCGATGCAACATACCGTTTTAAGAATATAAAAAACACAATATTTCGAATCAATAATATTTTGTCCCCGTCGATTTATAATTCTATCGCGTATAAACAGTATGACTAATACAGCGTCATTGCCTTCATTTTATATGCAGAAGTGAATCACGACGTGTGATAGTCGAGTATACATTCTCAATCAATTTGTCCATGAACTGTGGCGAACACGCTTTCCATTATTTATGAACTTTTATTAATAAAAGTCTAACAAAAAGATCGACGCCGAATAATTAGATGAGCTTATATTCACACATCGAAAAAAACTTTCAAAACTGTCAAGAATACTCTCGATTTTCGATATATTCGAATATAAATATGAATTATTTCATAAATAGTCGTTTAAGTCTGCTTTCCTTACCTTATGAAGTACAAGGACGGTTTAATCATGAAATCGGATGAACGTATCGAATCATTCGAAATATCTGATAACGTAGGCCTTGAATTTTATATACTGGGTATTTTTTAAATAACGCTCACTAATCACGTAGTGCTATTCTTCGTAAAAAAAAAAACTGAGTCGAAAAGTCCTATATAATTTTACAAATTTTTGCAATAGTTAACGAAATATTAATTTCTAAAGATAGTCAAATAAACGGATAAAATCAATGCATAAGACACTTTTAAGATGCCTTATGCGTCGATTTCAAACATTTTGGTTCGTTGGTCATCGGATAACTAAAAAAAAATATTGAGAAAATTACAAAATAGCAGAGGATTTTTCAATTCGCAGTTTTTTTAATCAGAAAT